CAGAAAGTACTTTATAGATTTCGAAACTTTGCACGCGTACTGCCAAAGCGTTGATGAAAAGTCATAAAGGTCACTAATTACGAATCCGGGATAGAAAAATTATCATCAAATAAAGAACAATTTTCCATTAAACGAAATATTTATTTCTCGTATTACGACGTATTATTCTATTTTCACTTATGTAAAGTTAGTCATTATTTTACCGATACAGATTAAAAAGGTAATAAATGCTTATTAATTTTACTTTGTTTGTTATTTTTAAATATTCAAATTAAGTATTTGACCCGTGGTTTAAAATGAATTAATTTTTAATTCAATCTCGACCCACCTTGGGAAAAAGGGTTGCCATTACCGACGCAGATTTTTCCAATGCAAAAATTCGCAATTGTTATTACGTCGAATAACACAGACGAATCTTTTGGTCAATTAATCGCGCATCCTCAGAAAGTGCAAGTTACCTTTCACTTTTTGTTTCGAAGGTAACTTCGGCGCTTTCCACCGTATCGATTGAGTACTTTTATTATCCGTGGTTCGGGTGCACGTGTCGATCGAGTGATTAAAATCGAATTTACAAAATCGATAAAACAATTACCGGACGATTTGTAATTTGCCAAAGGATTTTCCTTTCCTCGAAATCATTTCCTAATTCGCATCCGCTAAATCTGGTCTCTTCTTTTATTCGTGTTATTCGTCAGAAGTGTTTTAATTCCTTTCATTAGGTTGTTTCGTTTTCTACGCGTTGTTTTTTTCCTATCCAAAAAGTAACGGAATGTTCGAAATTTAAAATACATTAATTTCGTAATTAATTGGATTACGTACATTTTTGAAGCGATTTTTTGTACTTTGAAAGTTTTTGCTTTGAATTGTCCGTTTTCTCTTTTTTTAATTGAAAAGAACGGAAAACACAATTAAATTCGACATTTTTCTATAATTACGGTGTATTAATTTCGTTGAATTTACAGAATGGATTGCGAAATCTTTCTCTTATTATTAATCCTCGAAAGCTATAAATTCTGTACAATACGAATTTGTCTAGGTTCTAATGCTAAAAAAGAAAAAAATGCCTTTCTTCTTACATTCTCGAAACGGTAAAGACGAACGAAAGAAAGTACTCATTGCTCTAAACGAGTAAGTTTTAATATAAACCAAACTCCGTCTCCATGATCACTCGCTTAATGATAAGTTGGACGAACGAATCTTCCGTGGGTGAGCTCCACAGCCCGACAGCGGTAATATTGGTTAGTTTAACTCATTTTGAATGCTGCTTGATAAAAAAAACCTATTATTAAACTTCATGCTTTATTAATGTAGAACAGATTGTATGCGTCGATTATAATTTTACGCCGTCCGGATTAATCAAAGAGCGTATTATCTAAAAGAACATTTTTGGATAATACTTGAAGTTCGGTGCTCGAACCTCAATAATATTTTGTAGTTGGCCAACGCCTAGCTGACTCTCGGTGTTTAGCAAAACTTGCTTTTGACTTGCGGCGATTGGCATTTCCGTCAAAAAAAGGTGACCAGAACGGATACGCGCATCCACCACAATCCGCCATTTTGAAAACCTATGTGGCGTGTTTTCGATTTCTCTATATCGGAAGGATTTAAGGAGCCATCGTGTCCGACCGGACACCCGCCGGTGTGTCCTAATAAAGAGTTACGGGCATTTGTTATCATGACATAACACAAGTGTCCGCCGGTTTCTCCGGCAGGTTCCTCATCCGATGTACGGTAGATTGGCCAAAATAGGAGCTTCCTAATGCGACATTTATCCAACAGAATAGGTAAGCCCAGCGTTTCTACACTCGGTGTATTGTTTAAACGGAATTGAGCCGTTGCTATACTTGGAACGGTTTGCAGAGTTCCCTCTCGTAGACGGCATTCAAATAAAATAATCTTTAGTTACATTATACAAATTAAAACTTATCACCAAAATTTAGTAATAAAAATAATTACACATTTCTTCAATAACGTTTATACAAAATCGATTGTATTTTATAAAAATATAACTAAATGAATCAGCGGCGTACGGTCTTGCATCACCGATGCGTCACTCGCAACACTCAACGAAGAGACTGACGCAAAAGCCGGTTTAATTATAAATACTTTTTCAGACAATCGGACACTTCTTTCTAGTGACTTGTTAAAAGAAATTTTTCTGAATTCTCTTGTTAAAGTACAGTATTTAAATAAAACGTTTAATACCGTTTCATTCTGTCAACGGGTACCAAACAATTCTGTTTAGTATTGTATTGTACTGTACAATACAGTAATTAAACAAAGCTTATTGCAAGTAGCCGGCGTTCATTATATGTGTAATTTGTATTTCAATATTCTGAAATTCGATGTTAATACATTATCCCGTACGAAAGTTTGAATTATTACGTTGCAAAGTACGTACTGTATTATATGAATTCGTATCAAACTTTTAGCAGATACCGTAATCTAATTACAGTTGTGTACGTCAATTTTTTTCCGTAACCCCATTTAAGTGAAATTGCATATCTCGAAGGTAGACACGTAAGTAAAGTTTACCGTATTTATACGAGTTAACGAAACAATCTTTTAGCCTTCCCGATTGCGAATAATGTCTATTAGCCTATACGAAAAAAAAATTATTTTATTTTTCTTTTTATATGACGCAATGCGTAATCTATTCTCATATATTGTTTTCGGAGACGAATGAACTTTTCGAGTAGCACAAGGGTATAAGCGCCGTCTCAAAAAAAGCAGCTGTCGGTAATTGTGTAGATATTTCTCGAGACGCCATCTGTTGTTTCCGATAAATGAAAACAATAGAAAATCTTGATGGTCTCTTTCTCTACAGGAATTCTTTAAATGCATATATACAGCGTATTCTCGATATTAAGTTTCTAAATTAATAAATGGAATATTTTATATATATATCGTGAATTAAAAATAACAATTTCAAAATACTAATGAATGTATGTACTGTACAGTACAGTAAACATAACATATATATATATATATATTATATTACACACACACATATATATATATATACAGTGTATGTGTGTAATATAATGCATAAATAAATGTTTATATATTAATATAAACATTTATTTATGTATAATAATGAATTCTTTTAAATTTCCATTGTTATAGGAAAAACAATAGTTTCTATTTACGTATTATCAATTATATGAATTATTTATTACACTTAGAATGGATCGGTGTCACAGGAAATTCCGTCGACGTAAGCTCGTGCGCGGCGGAAGTACGTAGTTTCGTCTTTTAAACTAATGTCATTTTGCGTGAAACGTCGAACGAAAAATAAATTTCAGTTGCGAGAAAATGACTTTTATCGATGTACAGTACCTTTTCCGCAATTGGCTAATTTGTTCTTCTTTGTCTGTCGGTTTATTGGAAATATAATCGTTTTAACAAAAATGCACGTTTGCAGAATTCGGGAAACGTACAGTACAGTACGTTTTGTTCGAACACAATTCCAGGAAAATTAATTATTCAAATTCCTTTCCCCGAAACGAAAAAGTCGGAAAATCTTGAAATATTTTCCCTAAGTATTTCGAATGTTGAGCTAAAGTTAACGTAATGTTTCGGCTCATTTCTAAAGGATGCGTCAATATCCTTAGAATAGTCGACAATTTTGTATGAAAATAAGCGAAAATGATTTCCTGGGATACATTTATATTTACAATGAAATACCGGTTCACCACTCTTAAACAACTTCAAACGTTTAACGTGATACGGTAGATTCCGATTATTGTAATAGCGGATAATGTTATCGAAATTAACGGGTTCGGATACTTACGGGCTTGGCTTACTGTATTCGGAATTCGGTTATCGTTATCTTTGGATAAATACGTCTTTTTCTAACGCTTTCTTTTGTGCTAGCAACATCGACCTGCGGCCGATAACCCGCAGACCTTATAAGTTATCGTTATCGGCCTTAAACTCCAAGCGTTAATCTTAATACCATAGTTTTAAGATGCTAACATTACACTAGTTACTGTAGGTAGCGGTTAAATTATAGGCTATATTAAGAATAATTATAGGCCTAATTAATATGTCTTTAAGTTATACATTTTTAAACTGCTTTAATCAGTCATTTAAACATTATTCGACGAATCAAGAATTTTCTCTAATCGTTGTCTTAATTTGGCGTAATGCTATCATTCGGTTATTGTTATCGGTTGGGTCGGTCCCAAATGACGGGAATTAGCGGAGTCTACTTAATCAAAAGCGTAATCGTGTATATTAGCCCGTTAGTTAGATATTTCAAGAGGAGAGTGTCATTAACCTACGGAAAAGAGAAAAATTATAATCGTAGATTATTATTATTATTATTTGTATTTTTTTCGGCATTTGTAAAAATGAAAGTCGACGATTTATCGGTTTAAATATAGGCCGAGAGAATTTACCGATCGATAAGATAATGACTTCAACACGCATCACACATCCGAAAACTTGGTCGAACCTGTTAGAAGAATAGATTTTGTTTTTACTTTTACTTTAATTTAAATTCTAAACGACAAACAAATTTTTAGTAAATTTTACTAAATTGAAAATCTGAAATCTTTTAGATAACTTTTCCAACTAAACTTACAGCAGTAAATTTGGGTTAAGCACGTTACTAAAACAAGAGGCAATGTGTAGACAAGCATACTAAATTTAAGCCAATATAATTTTTTTGTAATTAAATTATAATTCGTCGTATGGAATTATCGAATCGGGGTATACGATCGCTGCCGGATTTAAGAAATTTCGGGTGCTAGACAAAAATGAATCGGGCTCTCGAAAAAGTTGAGTTTTTCGCAGATCGAATGTTTTTTCGTTTGCGTTGTTTGCTAGAGTTAAAATTTTTATTTGCGTGTAAATTTACATGTCGATTTACGGGTTTCTGCCTGTTTTGAATTCTAGGCAATCGCTTATGTCTAAATCAGGCTCCGTATAAGATCCTTGTTGTCAAAAGCTAAATTTCTTCATTTAATTAAAACTGTTTTTTTTTTTTTTTTCAGAGGGTCGCTTAGCTGCGCGTGCTCGTTTATTCTCCAGAGACAGATTAACTACGTCAGAATACAAGAACACATTGGCCAGTTTGGATCGCAAGTTAGCCATGGATGAAATATTAGAAAAGAAAAGAGCTATTTTAGCGCCATCTGATGACTCGAAAACTAACCAATACGTAGATGAAGTATTTGTTGATCTAACGGCTTCTAATTTCGTAGACGTGGAAGAAACAAGACTGTTGAAAGATAATTGTTAAACAAAAACAAATTGTTATTAATTAGAGTGTGCGCGTGTCAGTGTAGCCAGCCTATATATACACAGTGTACATAGGCCTATACACATATAATTTTTATATTTTTCTGTACAGTTTTACAATTTTTAAAATATATATATTTATTACCCATTTATATTATCAGTTTTAATAAACTTATTTATAAATAATTTTTCAACGTTAATCATTTTTAAAATATATTTGTTCTATTTATTTGTAATTTGACCTCGAGTTATCGTTAATGGGCGTTGATAATAAAATACGATACGGTGGAAATCCGAAGTGGAGCAATTTTGGAAGATAAAAGCCAAAGTTGAATTTCAACTTAATAATTGAGGTCGACTTATTAAACAATACTGAGAAGCTAACTGGTAAAATGACGTACATTAATAATCTAAATATGTTTCTCTAATTCGGCATAAGATTATTAAAGAATGGCCTATTTAAAAATGCCGCAGGGTTCAATTTTATAGAATGAGTCATTATGACGAATACCTAATCGCAATTACTCATTCACATTATTAATCTATATATATACGTATGATTGTTTTTAGCCTGAGAAATAATATTCAACAACTTTCCAGAAACATTTAAAACTGCATGTGTGGCGATCTCTTATGATATTTCAATAAACTTTTTATGTTATTATTATAAGATGACCAAATGCTTAATTTTGAGGGTAGGGACGGGTTTTATAAAAAAAAATTGTAAATGCTAATGACGATTTACTCATTATTAGCATTTAAGTCCATCAGCACTCCAGATTAGAGAAATTTCGGCCGAAGTTTTCAACGCGAAAACGTGTACGTCGGACGTTCAGTGCCGCCTTCCTATAAGCCTAGAAGTTTGACAATGGCGTTGGGAACGTCAGTGGGATCATGCTCGACGTTCCAAACGCAATTGTCAAACTTCTAGGCTTATAGGAAGGAGGCACTGAACGTCCGACGTACACGTTTTCGCGTTGAAAACTTCGACCGCAACCTCTCTATTAGGTTCATCATCACGCGACCCCGTTTATCTCCTTACTTCGTCGACCTTTAACCGCCAAAATGTTAAATAATCAATTTCCTTAATTTACAAACCTCCCTGCCAAATTTTAGAAATTTCCGACAAAAAACAAAGCAGTGATTAAGCTTCAAATAGGGTGAAGAAAATTCCGCACACTAACATACAGAAAACAACCCGAATTTTGTTTTGCATTTCTGGACATTTCAAGGTTCCCCAGTCCAAAAATATAAAAATGTTGGGAGGTAAGTTTTTACCGATCTCCTTACTTTCCCTCTGTATATATAATAGAACCGGGAAAGTAAATACGAATAAAATCTCATTTTATTCGTATTTACTTTCTCATTTATCAAGTGACAGTCGAAGTTTCTTTTTGTTTTGTTTTTTTTTGCGCGAAAGATTAAATTGTAAAGAACTCCCTCCGTTTGGACTAAATACCCTTGTTTTCACCTTTGTCTAGGCCCACCAGTGCCCAAGTGGATAATTTCACTGAACACTGGAAGTTGCGCCTCGCCAACGGGCAGACTACTAAACTTTTCCGAATTTTCTTCGTTAGAAACGCCTAAATAAGGTCGTTTCCCTTAAAAGACCTTCGGGAAGTCATTTCTCCTCGGCAGATCGCCTAGGATGTGTCGCGCTGCCGTAATTGAATAAAACCAAACCTACTCTGTATAGAACGGGGATTCCCAAACTTTTTTACTGTAGACCCGAGTCCTTCGAGGATTCCTCGTACTTTTATCAACTGACATCTCTCTTGTGGTTTTATAAACACTTTCCGCCTATGATACTAAAAGGGCCTTTTTGGCGAACTTGTTATGGGTTCGACCAGGCTACGAAGAGGCCGAATTGTGAGGTTTTGGAGCCCGAAGTATCCGGATGGACCATCCTCCAAAAAGTTCGAGGTTACCGTACAGCCGTCCTTCTTTTGTACTAATACTGTATAGTAAATACAGTAAAGCCTCGCTACATCGATTTTGTTTGTTTTATTAAGTTATGGCAACGCAACACTTGAGCGATCTGCCTAAGAGATGCCTTCCGGGAAGGTCTATTTAAGAATAACTGGCTCCTATTTAGGCGTTTCAGACATGGAGAAAACTTGGAAAATTATGTGGCCAATATTTATAATTATTTTAAATAAAAATTATTTTATATTATTTTAAATTATTTTATAATTGTTCACGATCCTGTAATTATTTTTTGAATTAAATTAAATTTTCGAATGTAAATCTGATAACACTCGACTGTAGTGTTTTCATTTTTGTCTCCGCATGAAGTAGACTTTTCTTCCTCGTGCTGATTGCAAGTTTGGTCAGGTCCACAATGGGGCGACCGGGTGGCGAGGGCAGATATCCCAAATGGACCACTCGATAAATTTCCAGTAAACTTGGGTCGAATACCGGGGTTTTTAGATCCGTCGGGATTCGCCCCACAGTCCCCCAGAACGGCAGGCTTCGACTTTAACATCTCGGCCACCTTTCCGTCATATGAGATTGCCGAAAGTGTGCAATTAGATTTGAAGTACCACATTTATAAAATTTCGTGTCACATTTAATGACGTTGGTTGACGTTTAAAATCAAAAGAAATATGTTTTGAGATATGGCGAATAGTACATTAAATCGGACATTTCCCGGAGGAGACTGTCTGCCGGGCCCTGTCACTCACTGTCCGGCTGCCCCATTGCGGGTCGGTCGAACTCACGATGGGCTTGATGAAAAGTTCCTTTTAATGCCCACAGGACAAAAAGAAACAAAATACTAATGAAACAGACTAATCTAGTGCATAATTGTTGAATGTGTTCTCGCCAAATTAGTGAGTTATCGATGTTTAAATCAAGGTATAAAATAGAATTTTTAATACAGTAGAGCATCGATTATCCGATCCCCGATTAACCGACCGTTCTAGTCGGCAAATTTCAAATGTCCGCTAGTGATGTGGCATTACAATATTTGGCTATGTCTTGGCTACTTTAATATTATTTTTGTTCAATTTTTGCGTGTTTTAGCTGGCATTAACGGCTCGACCATTGAAGGGAGGCCAGTATTTAAACGAGACTTAATTTTCTAATTATGAGTGGTTGTTTGTTTCGTGAGCAATAAAATAATTTTAAAATAATTTTTAACGATACAATAGCNAGTGTTTCATAAAAGTTATTACAACTGCCTCTTCAAGTATTATTAAGCGAAGATAGGATTACCTTTAAAGTGTATCCTCTCAAGTAACATAGTTTTCTACATCGTCAAATGACCTCCATAATGTGCTCTCCTTGCTCAAGATAATCAAATATTTCTTCAAGTATTTCTTCAAGCTTCTATAAGATTTCTTCTAATATCTATAAAATGCTACAGTGTTTATTATTGTGTCTATTGTGTCTATTGTTGTTCATCTTGTGCAAAGAGTATTTACGTGTCAAGTTAATCATATATTAAGTGAAACTGACGGTCTCTTACAGTGCACCTAAGTGCTTCTACAAGAACTTCCATAAATATTTACAATCGTGCACCTAGTGTTTCTACAGTGCACCTAAAAGATTTTACAAGAACTACCACAAACATTCACAATTCGTGAATTGATACTCCTAGGTATGATTTATGGTGCCTCTGTGCTAAGTGCAGTTCGTGTTGTCTCCGAGGTTAATTGGTGCTTCTCTAAGAAGGGATATGAGCTTCCTTTCAAAGATAACAGTACTAAACTAGATGGAAGAGTGATGGAGTTACACTTATCTGTTAACTGTGTAATTAATTAAACAGCTCACTACCGTGTGCTGAAGGTGCATGATGGTCCTTTGTGTCTCTAAAATATCAATATAAACTTAGATCTGATCATAGAACTGAACCTAGAATGCACCTGGACTCCTCATCGACTTTTGGCAAGCTTTTGTGTGAAGACTATGCCGCTGTGACTTTCTGCATCTTCAGCGCTTCTGAACTCAAGCTGCTACATACTGTCCAACTTTTTATTTTATTTTATTATTTCTTTTACTTATTATTTTCTTTTGTTACCACTATATAATTACCATTTGTTTAATGTATATATAATCCTATACTCACAATATATTCAAATTTTATTACTGTGATCATACAAACAATTATTAGTTTTCTGATTTATGTTTTTTCATATATAAATATTTTTGTAGCTTAATACAATCTGTAACACTATTGATTTGTCGTTTCCTCATTTTCTGGTGATGCTCACTGCAGTACCAGAACATGTATAAAATTATACCATAATAAACAATGATTGATTGATTAATTGGTGCGCTGCTCCGCGACGAAAACAAGCTTAAGCAATGGTATCGTCAAACGGTGCACACTCGATAAGTAATCCTACAATTTTTTGTTTATAGCGTAGTTTATACGGATTATTCCCAAAAAATTATACGTGTTTTGGAAATGTTAAGTCGAATTAGTTTAGAATCGATTAATTTTATGGAAGAAACCTTTCAAACAGCCGTCGTCCCTAAACTTCACACGTGTCGGGCTGAGATTGGCTCATGTACTTAAGGATTCCTACAACGTGAAATTCGTATAACGAGGAACGTATCTACGCGTTATAGGGGGGTTTACTGTACTAATATTCTATACTAATAATGTATTTTTCCCCTTCTTTTCAGTTATCCGACCAACCTGAGTCCCCAATTGAGTCGGATAATCGATGCTCTACTGTAATTATCTTAAGGATGTCAGATATAATTTAAAATCGTAGGTATTGTATTTAGAATTGCATTGATACAATCTAAAACGGGGTGATCATAATTAGAGATGTTTAGGGTTGGCTGTAGAAAAATATTAGACAAATATCAACTGGATTTAATAAACATATCATCTCGGGTAAGCGGTTTCGATTTTCAAAAATTTTACTTCTAGAATCAGCCGCTAGGGTAAAATTTGACGCTTCTATTACACACGTTTTATAACGGATTTTGGGAGTTAAGAAACAAAATGCAATCATTTTATTTCAATTACAGATGTTGAAAATGAAATTGATTACATCAAAATTATTTTATGCCAAAACTTGTATTCGCTGGAAACACACCTGACGGCAAAAACGT